GGGAGGTTCCGTCCAGAGGCCACGACAGGACCTCACGCCTGGGACCCTCGAGTCCCGCAGGTCCCGAACGGCAGCGGCCGTCGTGGGCTCGCCCGGAGACTGAGGGGTTCCTCCCGAGTGGGGCAGGGGACGGGGAGCAGGACGATGAGAAGTAGGGGGCAAGGGCTTGGAGAGGCTTGGCCATCGGAGCTTCGGGCTCCACAGGCATGTTCTCGCTTCTCCTGGACTCCAGCTGCTGCGTGCCAAGGGCTGCCCTTTCGGTGCCAGTAGGAGGGTCTGCAGGTCTCAGCCTGCCACCCTGAAGGCCCCTCTGGCGCTCGCCTCTCTCCCATCCTAGAAGAGGCAGGAGGTGGGGAAAGGGCGACGGTAGCTAGCGGGAGCCCTGTGGGGGCTGGGGGAGGGGGGAGTCGCTGGAGCGCAGGTGCCGGCAGAGCTGGGGTGGGGTCCCTAGGGCAGAGCCGAGATCTCTGAGGGAAGCCTTTGGAAGCCAGGAGGGCACCAGACAGACACCTATGCCCTCTAGATGCCGGCCCAAGCCCAGGAGGAAGGGCAGCAGGCTCAGGGCAGGGACCTCCCCGCGGGCTCCCAGGGAACCACACTGCTGTGACCCGTGAGCCTCTCTGACCAGGGTCTCTGAGGTGTGGCTAGTACCTTCCAGCTCCGGCGCTGGCCTGGGGCCAGGGCAAGAGGAAGCATGGGTTCCACTGGCTCTAGAGCCTTTACCAACCCGACCTTCCCCTGTTGCCCCCTCAGAACCTTGCTGTGCTGGGGGTGGACCCTCGCCTGGATACTGCTGCTTCCTGGGTAGGCAGGGCCGCCCCTAAGCTGCATGGGCTGGTGGGTGGGTGACCACCTAGCCCGGAGCAGGCTGCTGCAGTGCTCTGAGGACTCTACATTCTCTGCCTGGAACTTCCAGGCGTCCCGGGCTCCTCCATCCTGTACCGGAGTCATCCATCTTCCTGGATGCTCTGTCCTCGGGTCAACTGTGCCCATGCCCAGCCCCCACCTGGACTGAGTAGAAAGCATGGGGGTCTCTACAGGCTTACCTTAGCGCAGTGGTTCTCAACTTTCCTAATGCCGCGACCCTTTAATACAGTTCCTCATGTTGTGGTGACCCCCAATTTCATTGTTACAAATTGAACACAATTAAAGCATAGTGATTAATCACAAAAACAATATGTAATTATATATGTGTTTTCCAATGGTCTTAGGCGACCCCTGTGAAAGGGTCGTTCGACCCCCAGAGGTTGAGAACCGCTGGCTTAGAGGGATCTCTGAGGGTAGAGGTTGGGTCCTACTAGCCTTAAAACCTGGCCTTTGCTCCGCCTTGGTCTGGCTCCCTCCTGCTGCCCCTTCAAAACTAATCTCCAGACTATTAGGTGGCCCCCAGGGGACGGGGCTGCCCAGCTTCCCTGGACCACCCTTAGAGCTCCTATGCCACCTACACTGGGAACCTACTGGCACAGCCCACCCCACGGCGCCAGGGCTTTGCATTCACTGAGGTGTGCACTCGTGCACACGGGCGTTGATTTCACTCAGCTCCCCAACATGCATCCTACTCATGCACCTGCTAGGTCCCAGAGATGAAGCATTGAGCATGCCGCCCTGGAAAAACTCGAAGTCTAGTGAGAAAGAGAGATTGTAATCTGCAAAGCACACAGCTATTGGGCCCCACGCAAGAATAAAGCAAGCGCTCTGCCAATACCCCTTGTGGATCAGGAGTGGGCAAGCCCAGCCCTGCTCCCTCCCACACTGCCCTGGGGGAATCAGTTGGGCCTGGTGACAGCAGTCTGATGGAGGAGGTAGCAGCTGGAGGCTCACTTCACGCCCCGCCCTCTCTTATTTGGGGGCTCAGAGAGGACACTGTGCAGGGCGGTTGGTCTGGAGCTGAGGAGATTGGGGCCAGGCCAACAATGAGACCTGTGCACGCTACTGTCCAGCTCTGGCTCCTCACAGGTGCAGGTGGGTGTCAGGCTGCGGGAGGGGAAAGGCCATGGCAGGTCTATGTGGCTGCTGTGTGGATGCCTCTCTGCTCCAACAGATCTGCACCTCTGTTTCCTCAGCCAGAAGTCACGAAGATGCCCATCCTGGAGAAAGCGCCCCAGAAGATGGCAGCAAAAACTTCTCTCAGCAGTGAGGAGACTGTGAGTAACTTTTGGAGCTCTCTCTGTTATCACTACTCTCCCCACTCACATGCCCTTGGCTTCCAGAATAGTCCTGAATGGGATTTGCCCTCAGCACTTGCCTGACCCCAGCCCGCCCCTCTCCTGGGCAGGAGGCCCAGCTGCATCCCTGCCTGAGTCTGGAGGGCTTGGCGGCTCTAGGAACAGCTTCAAGATGCCACAACCTTTTGCAGTGGGGGTTCAGGATCTGAAGAAGGGGCTACTGGAGGGCTTGGCGGCTCTAGGAACAGCTTCAAGGTGCCACAACCTTTTGCAGCGGGGGTTCAGGATCTGAAGAAGGGGCTGGCACACAAATGAAAACACTGGACAAGAAATATGCATTTAGAAGGCATGGGGGCCCAGGGGGAGACTGTCCCCCTTGGAGAGGCACACTGAAACCTGGCCTTACTCAGTTTTAGATACACATCTTACCCTCAGTAAAGCACGGCAAACGGGTAGCAGATAGACCGTCTCTAAGATCAATAAAGATCAGTAAAGATCAGTAAGGTTCAGTAAACATTTACTTTGAGGCTATTAGGTCAGGAAATTGCTTCGAGTCACCACTATCTCAACAGAACAATGGTGCTTGGCATTAGTCCTGCTGACAACCAAGGTCCATCGGCCTTCCGAGTGCCTTGATGCACTCTCATGATAGTATGGGCAGTGGTGGCTTCCCGCATCAACGGAAATGCCGATAGGCACACTCCCTACCCCACAGTGCAGGGAGAGCCCTTGACCTGGGCCAGATACTTTTATCTCCCAGGACTTTCCCCACCCCAAGTTCCACTTCCAATGGCTCTGAGCCCAGGGGAGTTGCCTTAAGTAAGCCGTGCCACATCCCAGCCCTGGCTATTGTCACTAGTTCAGCCCTGGAGCTGTAGGCACCATCTTCCCCACTGACTTGAGATAAGACACCCTCCCTGGGAAGGCTTCCTCCCTCCCATCCCACTGACCTCCAGAGTGATAGAGCACATCTGATCCCCACAGTGTCACATGTGTGTCCCTCTACCACACTTGTCTTCTTGACATCTCCTTGACAACCACACCCCTCTCCACCTTCCCGCCCACCCCCACCCCCCTTGCTTCATTTGAAACCCTGATCAGAACCTCCTGGCTTCTCCCTGTGAAGTGGCTCACCACATCGTCCTGTTTGCTACTGCCGACACCTCTTTTGCTGCTTCTGCTCCATGGCATGTCCCTCCCGTTGGACTGTGGCTGCCTTGTCTCTCACTGAGCCTGAGTCCAGCCCAGGGCCTGGCCCACATGAACTGCCCAGGAAACTTGCATTGACCTGAGACCCCAGGGTCCAAAGACCCTCATTAGTGCTAGTCCCTGCCTCTGTTCCCACTGTGGGCCAGAAGCCCATGAGCTTCTAGAAGGAGCCGCAAGGGGCTGAGACATCCAAGCAGAGATTTCCTGCCCAGCTCCTTTTTACACATCACCAATTCCCCCTTTACCCAGGCTGTCCCAGGGCACTGACATGGCTCAGGGAAGGGAGGCCTATTTTTAGCATGGGCTAGGGTCAGACATGCTGGCATCTTGGCGAGGCCACCATATAGGCTGGGCTTTCTGTGGGTACTTACCCACTCACCCACCGCACAGATCCACGGCCCCAATAGAAGGAAGAGGGAACCAGAGCAGCTGGGGGCGGGGGAGGCCTGCACCTGTCTCTCTGGAGTGGACTAGAGAACCTGTCCTCACGAGGTCCCCGAGTAGCAACAGCACAGAGCACCCGCAGCCTCCTTCCTCCCCCTAGGCCAGTGAGCTCTAGGCACAGGGCCAGGCAGGTGGAGGATCCCCATTCATTCCTCAGCGCATGCTCAGTCCCATCTGCCCGGGCAGCCGTGGGGACTCCGGCCTGTGCAGCAGGAAGAGCAGAGTGGAGGAAAGCTTTCAACAGGCCCCTTCACTCCACCGCCTGCCTGGGGCAGAAGGTCACCGCTCCCCCACCCTAGAGAGGAGAAACCCCTGAAAGAAGGCAGCCAACTTTGTAAAATTTAAGTGATAATATGAAAATTCCTGGTTTCCAGTTGTGACCAGCTAAGTGAGGAAGGAAGAGGGCAGAAAAGAGAGCAAGGCAGCCAGAAGAGAACAGCTGAGGAAGGAGTAGAATGAATATGGGATGAAGACTGCCTTCAGGTCTCAGCTCTGCCACCAAATTGCTGGATGACCTGGGACTATCCACTCCCTGGGCCCGAGTTTCCTCCTCTGACTGCGAGGCTAAGCCATGACATGTGAGGTCCCTGGTGAGCACAGCTGGTAAACTGGGAAGCATGGGGCCCATACTCCCTCCACACTTTGGGGGCCCCCAGAGATTATGACATTCCTCTTGGGAATTCCTCTGGAAGGACAAGGACAGTAACATTGCAACATTTAATGATGTGCCTATTTAATGAAATGCTTCTCTCATTTCATTCTCTGCGGGCCACTCTCAGGTAGGAATTGTCATTTATGTCCTATGGATGAGGAAGCTGAGACTGAGAAAGATTAGGAGAGGAAGGACTTCCACCTCACCCCACTCCCGTACCCACAGGGAGCAGAACCCCCTCTCTGGGTTTCATAACTGCAAGGGATTTAACAAGGAGCCCAGGGCATGAGTCACCTTCCCAGGACACATCTTGCAGAATTCTGGTCATTAGGACAAGCAATGAACGATGTCTCCCACCCTCTTCCACCTGTCCACAGCTCTCCATTAGAGTCAATTGGATTCTAGAGCCCCAGCTGGGAACAGTTCCTAAATTAAGAATGACCAGCAATCACTATCAATTACAGGGCTATTTCATTAGACCCATTCACTAGAGTTGATGGGTCTTTCACATCAATGATCTCTTATCCTATAAGAGACAGAGGTTATTAACACCATCTGACAGGGAAGGAAACTGAGGCACCGAGATAGGGGTCACTTGCTTAAGATCAAACAGCTAGTCAGCAGCGGGGTCAGGGATGAATCCAGGTCTGTCTGGGATCACATCAAGGTCTTTTCCTCTGCACTTTATTCCTTTGGGGTCAGGGCTGGGGTATGGGAGAGAGCAAACAGGAACCTCCCAAGGTCACAATTCTGCTGAGCTGAGCCCTGGAAACAGACGAGTCTCAGGATAGGGAGCAAGGATGGTAGCAGATGGAGACAGACACTAGGCATCAACTTGGACAGGCCTGGGCCACACATGACAGGCACAGCAAGTACCTGTGACCCTTTTCCAGGAGCTGCCCAAACTCCCAGTGCCCCCCCTGCAGCAGACCCTGGCCACTTACCTGCGGTGCATGCAGCACCTGGTGCCCAGGGAGCAGTTCCGGAGGAGTCAGGCCATTGTGCAGCAGTTTGGGGCCCCTGGTGGCCTGGGTGAGACCCTGCAGCAGAAGCTCCTGGAACGGCAGGAGAAGACTGCCAACTGGGTAAGCGTGGCTGGGAGAGGGCTGACTGGGGGGAGGGGGAGCCGGCAAGGGACCCATGGGGCAGGAGGCAGACTTGGAGACAGAGGGATTTGGGTGAGAGACAGGTAGGTGACAAAGACAGGGCAGATGGGGCACAAGGATGGGGGAGAGACGAGGAGAGCAAGGGGCAAGAGTGAGGAACAGACAAAATGTGGAATGTGAAGTAGGTATGACTGGGAGATGGGGGAAAGGGATGGGGGGCAGATGGGGACAAGTTTGAGCAACAATGGGTGACAGGGAAGGGGCAGCAGAAGATATTGATGAGGTCAGGGAAGCTGAGAGGGTGAAAGGCAAGAATGGGCCCTCATAAGGAGGGCAGGGGACATGGACGAAGCACCAGACACCAGGACGGGAACCTGGGATGGGAGAGGAGAGAGTACAGGGCAAGGCTGAAGGGCAGGCTCGTGGGCTGCGAAACATGGCCCTAGCACATAACAGTGCAGCGTCTGTTTGTGGAATGAATGAATGAATGAATGAATGAAATGCATGATCCAGTGAAGTGTCCCGACTGGCCCGCAGGGCTGCCAGGATGGGATCAGTGCGCTCCACAGGCAAGGTGCCCTTTCTGGGAGGGGGTGTATGTGGCCCTTGTGGGTAATGGCTCCCCTTCCCTGCTCCCCCTGCAGGTGTCTGAGTACTGGCTGAATGACATGTATCTCAATAACCGCCTAGCCCTGCCTGTCAACTCCAGCCCAGCGGTGATCTTTTCCCGGCAGCACTTCCAAGACACCAATGACCAGCTCAGGTGAGGCCACCGGCTCCCGGCTCACAGCTGGGGAGCGGCCGGAGGAAGGGTCCTGGCCCGGGCACCAGGAAGGAAAGGCTGAAGCTCGTGTCCTGGTGGAGCTTTCTGAGGCCACGTGGCGCTGAGACAGGGGCCGTCCAGGCCATGAGGTCAGCAAGGAGGTTAGGTGAGGCTGCACCTGAGGAACAAACACAAGGCCTGCCTCTGATGCATTTGTAGGGGGCTGGGGGGGGGGACTAATGATGTTAGGTGAGGCTGCACCTGAGGAACAAACACAAGGTCTGCCTCCGATGCATTTGTAGGGGGCGGGGGGGGGGGGACTAATGGAGGGCATGGGCGCCCAGGTGTCCTCATAGCAGTCTTGACCTGGCTGAGGCCTGGGAGAAGGTGGGTCCCCTCTGATCCTGCCAGTACTTGAGGCCGGGACTTGTCTGTGGGACACACTGCCCCGGGTGATCTGAGAGGCCCCTGCAGCCCCCAGCTCCGAACAGAGGCTCCGAGGGGTTGGCAAAGGTTTCTTCCTGCCAGCCGCCTTCGCCAGAGCCTGTGCCATCTGTTGCAATCTCACAGCTCACTGAGCCACTGCAATGGCCTCTGGGCCCGCTGATGACGGTGGAGGGACCATTCACGCAAGGGTGGGGCAGGAACGAAGGATCTCCCTGAAGAAGTCACTGAGCTCCAAATCCCGTCTCTGGTTTTAAGACCTGAATGGGACACAGTGTGGGACAGTTCAGGGGGAGGACAAGAACAGAAGGCAGGGCCCGTCGCCTAGAGGCGGGGCTCAGCTATGGTTGGGAGACCCCCCAGCCGGTCCTTCCTCACCAAGACCAGTCCAAAGGTCTGGGAGCACTTTCCCCCTCCCCTGCAGCCAGGGCCTCCCCTTGGCCAAAGGAAGCGAGTGGATGGATGAACAACTTCTGGGAACAGTTCTCAAAATTGCACCAGAGTGGGCATTTTCCTCCGGATGCAGTAAGCCGGGCTCAACATCCAGGAACAGTAACGGTGACACCACTCCGTGGCATGGTTCTCTGGTGTGTTTTCCTTCAGCACCCACTTTCCTTTTCATTAGCACTTAGGGGACCAAATTACTGACTTTTCCCAGGAGACTGAATTGCCCAAAACCCAGGGTGCTGGCCCAGTCCAGCCCAGCAGGAGCCTTTCCTGGGAAGAACCGCTGCTCTTCCAGCCCTTTCCTGCGGCTCTGTGGCCTCTCCTGGCTTCCTCTCCTCCTCCTTTGCCTCCTCATTCATATTCTAGTTCCCTCTCCTCCCCGAAGTTCTTTCCAGGGCACCATTTTTAATCCAAAGCTTGCCAAGTACTGACAGCATAGAGGTGGGTAGGGGGCAGCAGGTAGCTCATCTTATTAGGGCACCACTCAGACCTGACATCTGATGGGTGGTCATTGAGTTTGGGAGAGATAGAGGGAGGGGGAAAGGAAGGGATGGAGGTGGGGAGAGAGAAAGAAAGAAAGAAAGAAAGAAAGAAAGAAAGAAAGAAAGAAAGAAAGAAAGAAAGAAAGAAAGAAAGGAAAAGAAAAGAAAAGAAAAGAAAAGAAAAGAAAAGAAAAGAGAAAAGAAGAGAAAAGAAAAGAGAAGGAAGGAAGGAAGGAAGGAAGGAAGGAAGGAAGGAAGGAAGGAAGGAAGGAAGGAAGGAAGGAAGGAAGGAAGGAAGGAAGGAAGGAAGGAAGGAAGGAAGGAAGGAAGGAAGGAAGGAAGGAAGGAAGGAAGGAAGGAAGGAAGGAAGGAAGGAAGGAAGGAAGGAAGGAAGGAAGGAAGGAAGGAAGGAAGGAAGGAAGGAAGGAAGGAAGGAAGGAAGGAAGGAAGGAAGGAAGGAAGGAAGGAAGGAAGGAAGGAAGGAAGGAAGGAAGGAAGGAAGGAAGGAAGGAAGGAAGGAAGGAAGGAAGGAAGGAAGGAAGGAAGGAAGGAAGGAAGGAAGGAAGGAAGGAAGGAAGGAAGGAAGGAAGGAAGGAAGGAAGGAAGGAAGGAAGGAAGGAAGGAAGGAAGGAAGGAAGGAAGGAAGGAAGGAAGGAAGGAAGGAAGGAAGGAAGGAAGGAAGGAAGGAAGGAAGGAAGGAAGGAAGGAAGGAAGGAAGGAAGGAAGGAAGGAAGGAAGGAAGGAAGGAAGGAAGGAAGGAAGGAAGGAAGGAAGGAAGGAAGGAAGGAAGGAAGGAAGGAAGGAAGGAAGGAAGGAAGGAAGGAAGGAAGGAAGGAAGGAAGGAAGGAAGGAAGGAAGGAAGGAAGGAAGGAAGGAAGGAAGGAAGGAAGGAAGGAAGGAAGGAAGGAAGGAAGGAAGGAAGGAAGGAAGGAAGGAAGGAAGGAAGGAAGGAAGGAAGGAAGGAAGGAAGGAAGGAAGGAAGGAAGGAAGGAAGGAAGGAAGGAAGGAAGGAAGGAAGGAAGGAAGGAAGGAAGGAAGGAAGGAAGGAAGGAAGGAAGGAAGGAAGGAAGGAAGGAAGGAAGGAAGGAAGGAAGGAAGGAAGGAAGGAAGGAAGGAAGGAAGGAAAGAGGGGGAGGTTGGAGACAGAGAGGGAGCCTGGGCCCCGGAGAGGAGAGGATAAGGCCTCATCTCTCTCTGCAGGTTTGCCGCCAACCTCATCTCGGGAGTGCTCAGCTACAAGACCATGCTGGACAGGTAGGACTGGGCCCAGCCTGCGAAAGGCAGAGCCTTTGGTTCCCCTCTCTCCCGGCCACAATAGACAAGGAGCTCTGGAGGGCAGTGACCCTGACATTGTTCAGCTCTGTGTTCCTGGCTCCTGTCAGAGGAGGTGGGACCACACCCACCCCAGCATCAGGATGACCTTTACCCCAGCTGGCCCAACCACCAATAGTTCCTTTTCCTGGTGTAAGCACTATCCTACCTGGATCCCTTTAAAATGCCCCTTCCTCCATGCCTTATGTGTACACGCGAGCATGTGCACCAGGAATCTAGGGCACACACGAGAAGTGGAGAAGAGAGAGTTGTAGGAGCAAGGCAGGTGAGTCAGCCTTGCCACCTGCTACTCGAGGGGCAGGTTCTCCTCAGTCCAAGCCTGTTTACTTGGCTTCAACCCCACTTTCCTTTCGGCCTCAATCTCTGGTGTGTGTAAATATTATGAAATGTTTGTAAAACACTACAAAAATTAATTAGTAAAAAGTGGTACAAAGTATGAGATCACTTTTTGTTAATTCGTGTCTTAATTTTATTTTTTAATTACAGTTTACATTCAATATTATTTTGTATTAGTTTCAAGTGTAAAGATGAGTGTTTAGACAATCATATACTTTACAAAGTGTTCCTCCTGATATTTCCAGTAGCCAACTGGTACCATATATAGTTATTACAATATTACATCCCCATGACTATTTTGAACTACCAATCTGTACTTCTCTATCCCTTCACCCTTTTCACCTATTTCCCCAACGCTCCCCTCTCATTTGACAACTATCAGTCTACTGTCTGCATCTATGAGTATGTTTCTGTTTTGTTTATTCATTTCTGTTGTTCTTTAGATTCCACATATAACTGAAATAATATACTTATTATTTAATATACTTAATAAAATTTGTTTTTCTCTGATTGACTTATTTCACTTAGCATAATACTCTCTAGGTCCAACCATGCTGTAGCAAATGGTAAGATTACATTCTTCTTTATGGTAGAGTAAAATTCCATTGTATATATGTACCAACACTTTTACATCCATTTGTCTATTGATGGGCACTTGGGTTGCTTCCATATCTTGGCAATTATACATATGCTATAATGAACATGGGGGTGCATATATTCATTTGAATTAGTGTTTTGTGTTTCTTCAGATATATTCCCAGAAGTAGAATGATGAGGTCGTAAGGCAGTTACGTTTTTAATTTTTCAAGGAACTTCTGTATTGTTTTTTTTTTTTATAATGGCTGTACCAATTTTAAATCCAACAACAGTGAAAAAAGTTTCCCTTTTCTCCACATTCTCATCAACACTTTTTTTTGTTGATTTAGTGATGATAACCATTCTGACAGGTGTGAAGTGATATCTCACTGTGGTTTTAATGTGCATTTCTCTGATGATTAGTGATGTTAAGCATCTTTTCATATGTCTATAGGCCCTCTGTATGTCCTCTTTAGTGTCTATTTAGGTCCTTCACCCATTTTTAAAATGGATTGTTTGTTTTTTTGGTGTTGAGTTGTATATGCTTTTTATACATATTGGATATTAACCCCTTATCAGATGTATTGTTGGCGAATATGTTCTCCATTCAGTGGGTTGTCTGTTCATTTTGTTGATGGCTTCCTTTGCTGGGCAAAAACTTTTTAGTTTGAGATAGTCCCATTTGTTTATTTTTTATTTTGTTTCCCTTGCCCAAGGAGATATATGTGAAAAAAATATTGCTACAAGAAATACCCAAGATTTTACTGCCTATCTTTTCTTCTAGGATTTTAATGGTTTCGAGTCTTACACTTAAGTCTAATCCATTTTGAGTTTATTCCTGTATATGGTGTAAGAAAGTGGTCTAGTTTCATTTTTTTTGCTTATATCTTGTTCATTTTTTTCAATATTATTTATTGAATAGACTGTCTTTAACCCATTATATATTCTTGCCTCCTTTGTCATGTATTAATTGACCATATGGGCATTGGTTTATTTTTGAGATCTTTATTCTGTTCCATTGATCTAGATGTCTGTTTTTATGCCAATACCATGCTGTTTTGATTACTATGGCATTGTAGTATAGTTTGATATCAGGTAGCATGATTCCTCCAACTTTGTTCTTCTTTCTCAAGATTGCTATGGCTATGTGGGGTCTTTTGTGATTCCATATAAATTTTAGGATTATTTGTTCTAGTTCTGTGAAATACACCATTGCTATTTTAATAGGAATTGTGTTGAATCTATAGATTGCTTTGGGTAGTACGGACATTTTTACAATGTTATTATTTTTTAAATCCATGAGCATGGTATATGTTTGGTTTAATTTTTATTTTCTCTTTAGTGTTTTATAATTTTCCAAGTATAAATTTACCTCCTTGGTTAAATTTATTCCTACATATTTTATTTTATTTTATTTGATATGATTGTAAGTGGGATTGCTTTCTTAGTTTCCTTTTCTGATAGTTCATTTCTGATATATAAAAATGCAACCAACTTTTGAATATTTATTTTGTATCCTGCTTCTTTACTGAATGCATACAATAGTTTTAGTAGTTTTTGGTGGAGTCTTTAGGGTTTTCTATGTACAGTATTATATCATCTGCAAATAATGACAGTTTTACTTCTCTTCCCAATTCAGATGCCTTTTATCTTTATTTTTCTTGTCTGATTTGGCAAGCCCCCAAATTCAGGGGTCCTGGTAGAACACAAGCACACTGGGAAGCCAGGCAGCAAGGCAAACATCTTCCCTCCTTCAGGAGGGTGCGAAGCACATGGTCCGGCAGCACACGCACACTGAGAAGGCGGTCTGCTCAGCTTTTTAATCCTGATGCACCTGACCGGTCCCTCACTCTTGATTGGAGCTCAGGTGCACAGTCATTCACGATTGGCTAATTCAAAGAAAGGGGTGGGCCTTTGCTGTTTCAAGATGGCGACTCCCAGGGTGCTGCAAGTCATGCAGCTGACATGGCGGCTGCCAAGTCCCATGAGCCAAAATGGCGGCTGTCTAAACTGTTCTTTGACAGAAAAGATTACTTGTTTATTCTCACACCTCTATTCCCACTATACTGAGAGTTTTTATCATAAATGGGTGCTGGACTTCATTAAATGTTTTTTTCTGCATCTATTGACATGGTTATATGGTTTATTTTTCATTTTGTTTATGTGGTATATCACATTTATTGATTTGCATATATTGTACCAATCTTGCATCCCTAGAATAAATCCTACTTAATCATGGTATATAAATTTTTAATGTATTGCTGGATCTGGTTTGCTAATATTTTGTTGAGGACTTCAGTATCTATGTTCATTAAGGATATTGGCCTATAATTTTCTTTTTCTTTTTAATCCTCACCTGAGGATATTTTTCCATTGATTTTTAGAGAGAGTGGAAGAGAGAGGGAAAGACAGAGGGAAATATCGATGTGAGAGAAACATATGGATTGGTTGCCTCCTGTACAAGCCCCAAGGAGCCTGCAAACGAGGTATGTGCCCTTGACCGGAATCAAACCCAGGACCCTTCGGTCTGTAAGCCAACACTCTGTCCACTGAGCCAAACCGGCTAGGGCTGGCCTTTAATTTTATTTATTTGTAATATCCTTACCTGGTTTTGGAATTAGGAGAATGCTGGCCTTGTAAAATGAGTTTGGAAGTCTTCCTTACTCTGGATTTCTTTGGGATCGTTTGAGAAGGTTAGGTGTTGTTTCTTCTTTGAGTGTTTGGTACAATTCACCCGTGAAGCCATCCATCTGGCCCAGGACTCAGGTTTGTTGGAAGTGTGTGATTCCTGCTTCAATTTCATTAGTTGTAATTGGTCTATTCAGATTTTCTGATTCTTCCTGATTCAGTTTAGGAAAATTGTATGTTTATGGGAATTTATCCATTTCTTCCACTTTGTCCAATTGGTTGACATATACTAGTAGTTGTTCATAATATTTTCTTATAATCCTTTGTATTTCTGTGGTGTCAGTTGTTACTTCTTGGTTTTCATTTCTGATTTTATTTATTTGGGCCCTCTATCTTTTTTCCTTGAAGAGTCTGATTAACGGTTTGTCAATCTTGTTTATTTTTTCAAAGAACCAGCTCTCAGTTTCATTGAGAATCTTAAAGATTCCACCAAAACATTACTATTAACTGATAAATAAATTCAGTTAAATAACAGAAAACAAAATAAATATTCAGAAATCGGTTGCATTGTTTTGTATTTTTTAGGCTGTATTTCATATATTTCCACTGTGATCTTTATTATTTTATTTCTTCTACTGTCTTTGGGCTTTTTTCCTAGTTCTTTTAGGTGTAAAATTTGGTTGTTTATTTTATATTTTTTCCTGTTGTTTTGAGATAGTCCTGTAATGCTATGGTTTTTCCTCTGATGTAGGTTTGCTTTTGCTGTGTCCCTTAGATTTTGTGTTGTTGTGTTCCCATTTTCATTTGTTTTAAGGTAGTTTTTTATTTCTTCCTTGATCTCATTGTTAACTCATTCATTGTTTAATAACATGTTATTTAACCTCCATGTGTTGTGTGTTTTTCACTTTTTTTAAAATTGATTTCTCATTTCAAAACATTGTGGTCCGAGAAGAAGTCTGACATGATCAATCTTCTTAAATGTATTGACTTGTTTTGTGTTCTAACATGTGATGAGACCACTTTTATTATTAGATTCAAAGACATACGATTCCTGCTACAAATGTTTCTGTAAGCGCCCCCTGTTGTGGGTTGGTCTTTACAGTTCAGTTTAATACTCACACTTGGAGCAGCGGGGTGGTGGGACACCCACCCAGTCACCTTGATTGGCCCCAGCTCTTCTCATGGCTGCCTCTTACCCTCATGGCTCAGCTCACATGTCCCGTCATCAGCAAGCCTGTCCCTGGCCACGCCTCCTTGTCACCCTGGCTCACTACCTGAATCCCTCCCATTTACCAGTTCGCTGCTTGTTATCTGTGCCCCACTCCCATGTTCCAGGACCTGCGCCCCTTAGAACAGGAAACTCATCTCTTGTTTGCTGCCATATCCTCCCAAATCCCAGAATGGTGCCTAGCACGGAGGAGTGCACGATAACATTTGTTGTCTGAAAGGTTAGAGGGAAGGAAGGGGAGAGAAACATGGGGAAAGAAAGAGAAGGAGGGAGAGGAAGAGGGAAAGGAAGGGAGGAAGGACACAAGACAGGCTGAGGCCACAGGGAAAGAGAATATTCTGCCTTGAACTCAGAGGAGGCTTCTAGAAGAGGTGATGGAGTAGAAGGGGTTTTCTAAACAAATTAGCTGAGCACAAGGTGGGGGTGAAGGCATGCTAAGCAAAGATCAGCATAAGCAAAGGCAAAGGGACTAAAACAGTAAGATCTGCACTGAAGTGCATGAGTCAGGGATGAGGGAGACTAATGAAGGTGCGGGACATCCCCGAGGATCTTCTTGGCCATGGAAATGGGCATTCCACTACTTTAAAAAGTGGAGATTTAAGCTCCTTGACTGCCATCACAGTGCCGTTCTCGTTTCTGTGCCCCGCTTTGCCTAATCAAGTTGCAGTAGAACCAATTCTGACTTCCTGCCTCGCTGAATGAAGGTGCGGGAAATCCCTGAGGATCTTCTTGGCCGTGGAAATGGGCATTCCACTACTTTAAAAAGTGAAGATTTAAGCTCTTTGACTGCCATCACAGTGCCGTTCTCGTTTCTGTGCCCCGCTTTGCCTAATCAAGTTGCAGTAGAACCAATTCTGACTTCCTGCCTCACTCCCCACTCTCCCCCTCCAGTCACTCCATCCCCACTGACTGTGCCAAGGGCCAGCTGTCAGGGCAGCAGCTCTGTATGAAGCAATACGATGGCCTCTTCTCTTCCTACCGCCTCCCTGGCCACATCCAGGACACGCTGGTGGCCCAGAAGAGCAGCATCATGCCTGAGCCGGAGCACATCATTGTGGCCTGCTGCAACCAGGTAAGCGGCCCCCGCTGCGGCAGCCTCTTGGGCTCGGGGAGGACACATGTGTGCTCAGGCATTCCTGCTTTTCCAAGGGTGCTCACCACCTCCCAGAGCCACACAGTGAGCTGGGGCAGAGTGGCCCCAAAGTGGGACCTCTGGACTCCCTGTCAGTTCCATTTCTCTCCACTGGTTGGATTTTCAGAATGAGGAGAGTCATCGATTAAGAACACCTTCAGTGGGCTGCCATTCCAGCCTGACCCTCCAGGTCAGGTCAAAGAGCTGCCTGGATAATGGACTCAGGGTCATTAATAAGACCCTGCAAGGCCTCAGAACTCCACATGCAGTGACCGAGGCCATGACCTTCCCAGAAACTATACACAGACAGACAGCTTTGCAGATGTTGGGACCTCCTTGCCTTTTTATCTGCACTCACTAGTGTGTTTGAGATCTATCCCTATAGCTGTATATGCAACTAGTCTGTTCTTTTTCACTGCTGGGTAGGCATACACTGGACAAGTACATACATCTTACTTAGCCGTCTCCTACTGGAGACCTTTAGGTTCTCTCTGCCATTTTGCTGCTGCAAACTGCTCATATGTACATTCCCGTATACATGTTTCGGGGCACAAGGGTATATGTTTCTCTAAGCCTTAGGCTAAAATGTGTATTTGTAAGAGCAATTGCTGAGTCATAGGGTATGCACATTTTCGTTTTAATAGACACTGTCCCCCAACAGTGGTCGTGCCAATTATACTCAGTTCCCCGTAAATGTAGTGCTTTTATAAGAACTAAGAACCACAAAAGCAAGTGTTCATTTAGCTAAGTTTAATGTGAACTTCTTTGGATTGGAGCAGCTTGGAGTCCCGCACAGTTAACAAAGTTGAGGTGGTCCCCAAATTGTGACTACTCGGAGCCATGACTACATGGGAACCTTGGGCCTGAACATCTCCATCCATTCTCAGATCTGAAGGTTCAGTGAAGGCCTGGCACCTGGCCCGGCTGCCGTGAGTGATGTGTTTGACCTGTTTCCCCACAGTTCTTTGTCTTGGATGTTGTCATTAATTTCCGCCGTCTCAGTGAGGGGGATCTGTTCACTCAGTTGAGAAAGATAGTCAAAATGGCTTCCAACGAGGACGAACGCTTGCCTCCAATCGGCCTGCTGACATCAGACGGGAGGAGCCAGTGGGCTGAGGCCAGGACAGTCCTCGTGAAAGGTCAGCCGCAGTGCCCAGCGCATCTCCACGCCCATCTCATCCTCACGTCCATCGGCTTTCCCTCCACCAGGGTCGGGAACCATGCCTCATCCCCATCTGCCATCGCACTGGAGCTGAGGCCTCCCTCCAACTCAGGACCCGGTGGCAAGTCTTGCTGTCAGCTGAGGTTCCTTGACGCTGAAGGCACCTTTGGTACCTTTTATTTCATCTGACCATGCTCCAGCTCTCTGGGTGACACTGGCTGGAATCCTGGGATTTCTGGGAACACTGGGGGAGGGGGAGGGAGGGAAGATTTTGAGCTGGAGAAAGGCTGGCAGCAATGAAGCAGTTGTGCTTTACTTGTTGGCAGGGGTGGTTCTCATTTGAGAGGTCTGAGTTGCTGGGAGAGCCGTCAGATGAGGATTTGGGATGGAGCCCACCTCTGGGAGGGTAGTTGGCTGCCTTCTTTATATGAATTTTTGGTCCTAAACTTTTCATAGTTAAGCTGAGAGTTTCTAAGCACCCCTATAAGAAATCCAGTTATAGTCTTAACATTTTAAAATCATCCTTCTGGAAACTACTTTTCAAATCCAAAGCCAGCTCTATTCCCAGGAACTGGGAGAGCCTTCCTTTCTTGCCCATGTTAGAGACTCCTGGATGAGAGGTGAGACTTCCAAAAGCCTCCATCTATCCCTCAGGTTTTCATCTGGCCCGGTGTCTATCTAGACTCCCCAAGTGTCTGCAAGCTGAGGACTTGTGCTGGGCCTGGGGAGTGTAAGAGATAGAGAGGATGAAGTGCCCTCCAGCCTACTAGATAAGAACAGGGGAAGAGAGGGCATGGGGGAGCAGGTTCAAATACACAGTAATGCGATATTTACCCACGTAAGGTAACAGAGACAGCAGTGCCAAATAAATGCGTCAGGACTTCAGAGTGGGAAGGGAGCCCTTCTAATTGGGAAGATTTCAAAAGGCTTTGTTGGAAGAGGTGGAAATTGTGCAAATCCCTGTGACATGAGTGAGAGCTGCAGGAGGGATGGGTGGCATACAAGCTGGCAGACTGGGAGTGGGCAAAGCGGACTGCCCATCAGGGACATCTGCTCTGCCCAGTACCATGAGGAGAGCAGCCAGGCTGACAAAGTGGCCATGCTGACCGTACTGGTAGAGTGAGGAGGTAGCAGGCCTGGATCTCTGGCAACAGGCACTGCATTTTCTGGTCCCCTCCCTAGAACGTTCGTCCCACAGGGCTGGCTGGCTCTTTGCACTACTCAGAGCTCAGCTCAGCTTCAACACCTCAGGACTTCCTTGAGCATTTATCCCCAATTATATTCTGTCCCTTGGTCCTGTTATCGCCTCTTGATTGCATGTTTCACTCCCCAAAGTCAGCTTTTCATTTGCTTGATTCCTGCTGATTATCTGCTGCCCTCCCCCAGTCAATAAGGTCCAGGAGAACAGTAAGGGCCCAGTTGTATTTGTTAAATAAAAGAAGGAAGGGTTATTAGGAATACTGGGGCCCAGACTTATTTCCCACTTACCAATGAACTATTCTTTCATTCAATTATTGGGCACCTGTGAATGCTTGGTTCTAAATCGGGGTTGCACAGGCCACAGGGAAGTTGGAGAGCTGAGCCTGTTCTCATGAACCTAGCCGCCAAATTGGAGAATTAATAACATCATTTGAAAGTGAGTTCATTCCCTCAGTAGACCATGGTCTAATCAAATCCCACTCTTCTCCCCTCCGGGGACAGTGACAGGCATCAAAATAATCACTTTTGCTTCCAGTATGGTTTCCACTTTATTAGCAGGCCAGGCCAAGCCATCTCCCTGCAGGACTGCCAGGGATTGCCTGGAGGTCTCAGTGCTTGGGCTGCCCTAATTGGAATTAATTTGTTAATGGCACTTGATCTGGTTTTCTGAATGGAAGTACTGTTTCTGTGGGAAACGTGACAGAAAGGAGGGGTGCACACGCCTTCCCTTTGGAAATCCAATTAATCCAGTTAGCACTGACTGTGTCGTCTGTGTGGCAGGAAACCATTTCTTCCCAGAGCCCTCTTCTCTGGAGAAGCCCTTTCCCACAGAAGGCAAATGGGGAGACCATTTAGAAAACAATTTCAGTGTAAAAGTAAAAGATTATGACAGCTTGGGCTAGGATTAAGAGGGAGAATAGAAAGACATGGGTGGGGTCTAGATATATTTCAAAGTAGAAGAAGAAGGACAAAAGAAGTGAGAAGTGTTTCCAGGTCTTTTATTTGAGCAACTGAATAGATGGTGGTCCTATTCGCTGAGAAGGGAATCAGGTTGAGAGAGTGGCTATGAAATGGAGAAGTCCTTTCCAAGTATGTCAGGTCTGAGATGCCTTGAGTCATCTAAGTGGAGACATCAAATTAGATCTATGTGTCTGGAACTCAAGAGAGAGGTCAACACGGAGATATAAATTTGAGAGCCATCAGCACATAAGTGATATTTAGTCATGGACCTGAGTGAGATCATCTAGAAGCAGAAGAATGGGGCGTCAGAGGTCAGATAGAGAAAGATGCTGAGGGCATTGAGAAAGCAGCCCTGAAATCAAGAGAAAACCAGATGAGTCACAAAGATCCAAGATGGAAGGAAGAAGTGGCCAGCCACACCAAATGCTGCAGAGAGCTCAAGGAAGAGTCATCAGTGACCTTCACAAAGGCCAGACTGGAGTAGTGGGAAGAATGAATGGTCATATGCTGATGGAAGTGATCCAACAGCAGGAGGAAATTGTGTTTGAGGTCAATGAGTAGAATTAGTAAGTGTGGATGACTCTTTTCAGACATTATGAGATTAAAAGGAGCAGAAAAATGCGGGAGTTGCTGGAAGAGGGTTGGGGTCAAGGGAAGTGTTTTTATTAGTAAACGCAAGGGCATGATAGTATGTAGACAAATACATGGACATAATCCCACAGGATAATCAGGATAATTGTTAATGAGAAGAGAGGTGATAAATAAAGGGGTAAAATGATTGCAAAGAATATGGACATAATCCCATAGGATAATTGTTAATGAGAAAAGAGGTGATAAATAAAGGGGTAAAATGATTGCAAAGAAAGAAGAAGATGGAACCCAGATAATAGAGACCTTTGGTTGGTGCCAGGAAAATGGAGACCAGAGGTCCATAAGACTGTGCTGTGGTAGTGGAAGTATGAGGAGGTTTCCAACTGGTAACTTCTGGTCTCAGATTAGCAGAGCATGGCCATGAGCTGAGTGGCAGAGGATGGTATTGTGAAGACAAAAGAGAATGCATGAGTCCTAACCAGCTTGACTCAGTGGATGGAACGTCAGCCATAGACTGAAGGGTCCTAGGTTTGATTTGGGTCAAGAGCATGAATCTCAGTTGCAGGCTCGATCCATGGCCCTGGTCAGGGTGCATGTGAGAGACAACCAATCAATGTGTCTCTCCCACATCAATCTCTCTCTCTCTCTCCTCTCTCTCTCTCACCCTCCCTTCCATTCTCTCTAAATTTCAATGGAAAAATATCCTCAGATGAGGAGAGAGAGAGAGAGAGAGAGAGAGAGAGAGAGAGAGAGAGAGAAAGAAAATGCACGAAATAGCCTCTTGGAAAGTAGGAAAGAGAGCTTACTCATGAAACTTGATAAGATTTATGGACTGTGTCAAGCTCATATTTGAGGATTTGGAGTCATACATTTAGGAAAAACTAATTAGCATTGTTTTGCAGTTTCCCTCCACAATGTTCAGTTCCTCAGGTTCAGGCAAGGAGAAGGTATATCACCAGGTTTAGCCAAGTTTGGTGAATAAGACCTAGGGAAAGGGGGAAGGTGTGGGAAGGGAATGGTTATAATGTTGGAATCTAAACTGAGTCTGCTAGGGCTACCATAAAAAAGTACCACATTCTGAGTGCTAACCCAACAGAAATGTATTTTCTCACAGATATGGAAGCTGCAGGTCTGAGATCGAGGTATCATAGGGGTCAGTTTCTTCTGAGGTCCCTCCCCTTGGCTTGCGGATGGCTGTCTTTCCTTGTGTCTTCACCTGGTCTTTACACAGTGTCCTAATTTCCTCTTCTTATAAGGACACCAGTCAAGTTGGATTAAGTCCCATCCTGATGACTTCATTTTACTTAATTACCTCAATAAAGACTCCATGTCCAAACACAGTCTCATTCTGAGAAACTGGGGGTTAGGACTTCATCTTAGGAATTTTGGGAGAACACAATTTATCTCATGATGGGAGGAAAGTGAAAGACAGAGGTGCATAATGGATAATGGAAATAGGTAGTGCAGTTCATGGTTTGGGGGATGTCATTGACACGAGTCATGTTGCAATGGGGGTAACCGACTGTGTGAACCAAAAGGTGACGAGTATGGTCAGAAGGTTGGATGCTTGAAACTGAGACTTCAGGAGGTGTCCCTGGTCCTGAATTCCCAGATGTGATTAAGGGAGTGGGGACTGATGTTGGACTGCCACCGTTGGGAGGTTGAGAGTCTGAGAGAAGAGGATGTGAGCTGGGTTATCCACATGGACATTGAAACTACCGGGACGGTGATTGGAGTAGTGATGGGGAGGAGGAAGCTGAACCAGGAGCCCAGATCTGCACGCTGATGAGTTGTGAGAAGGTTGGTGGAACACAGCAATTAAGTGAGTGTTGGCTGTGATGGGAGGGTAAACGTCTAGCAGGTGCAACTCCAAGGGAAAGGGAGGAGGAGGAGTCATTTGGGAGTGGGAACAGGGAGAATAAAGCCACCTACCTGACCTGGCTCTTGGGGACATGAGTGTCAAGGAAAAGAGTCTTTGAAAGGGCACAGGGATGTGTAACCCTCAGGGGATACCACCTTCAGGTGAGGCAGAAGGTGAACAGAGAATGCGTTCGGAAGAAGTTAATGATGCAAGGGGACCAGCCATCACTAGTCAGGCATCATGAAGGGTTCAGGAAGGAGGAAAGGCGAGGGCAACAGACCCAAGAACAGCGGCCATCATTGCAAACAATACTCCCCAATTCCTAACTCCTGGGAAGCTACTCTTTCCTGGTTCCAGGCAGGCCTGTCTGGTGGTTATGGGGCTGGGACATCTTTCCAGCCCATAGCGGCATCACAATTAACACCACAGGGTGGGTGCTTTTCAGGCCATCTCTGCTGAAGGCCCAAGGTCTCCACTTCCCTTCCGGGAATAGGGCAGAGACCAGTGCTTATGGTAGTGGGTCCAGGCAGGTGCTGTCCTGCACAAGGCCTGTGCTCAAATGAAATCTGCCCTTAAA